TCTCTGGAGGAACGCTGGTGGCCGGTCGGCGTTCGGCATGTAGGCGAGCTACTTTCGTCTCTGGCGAGAAGAAAGAAGATGAGTGAATCCTCGGGCTTGCCCAATCTCGGACCCAAAAGACATGTGATGGGCCCAGAGAACCCAACGGTTGGACCATGAAAGCAGAGTTCGGTCCATTTCTTCTTCAAAGCACTAGTCTATACCATAAAACCCCTACCTTGTAATATTTGCTGTCTTTGACGTCAACCGCCGCTCGATGATGTTTCTATTTGGTTAAAATATTAATATAGTTCTTCAAATTTTAAATTTGTAATAAATTTATCTCTTAACTTCAAAAAATACTAAAATTATTTTTAAACTTTAATTTTTAGTATTAAAATATTTTTCAAAATTTAAAGATAATACTAATTTAGTCTTTAAACCTTGAAAACAAATACCAACTTAGTTTTTTAAACTTTAATTATATATACCAATTTTATTTTTTAATTTTGATTATATATCAATTTGATATGTATATAAAAATATATCACAATTTAGATTTTACACTTTATTAGTATTTAAAAAAAATTGATTTAGTGATAAAATAATAAGTTACGTGACACTTCTATCAATAGAAGAATTTTTTTATTAAAAATTAAAATTCAAGAATAATTTTAATATGTTTTGTAATTATTAGATAATTTTAATATAAATTTAAAAGTTGAGGGCTTAAATTAATATTTTAACTTTTCTGTTTAGATGCTTGCGTGACAAAACAGAACATATGTGGGTTGGAAGGGGGTCCGCTGCACACGTGATTCAATGATATTTGTCTCGGCCAGGCTTTTGAATATAACCAACCATTTTGCTAGCTATTTTTTTTGGGTATTGACATCTTAATATTTAAAAATCACATTAAATTTCAACTAATTTGTAATTAAATCATGTTAGATCCCATAAAATGAAATATTCTTTTAATACTTGATTTTTTATTTATAAAATTTAAATTTAAAACTTTATTTAAAGTGAATCAAGTTCTTTTTACTTTGACATACAGATCGTTGGTTTTGCTAGCTTTTAATTGCCACAAAGGTTCAGAGGCTGAGCTAAAAAAATATTTTAGGGGGCAAAGTAAAACATTGATAAAGAAATTGTCTATAATTGTATAAAATAAATAAAAAATTTAAAGATAAAAGTAAAAGTTAATGGACCATATTAAATATTTTTCAAAAGTTTAGGTGGGGCATGCATGGAACCCCTACGGGACCCACTAACTCCACCGGTGCCAAGGTTAGTTGTTTTCGTTGGTCCACCATCACGGCTCTGATCTGATCGAGACCATTCAGGCACGTTTGTAGAACCCCGCTTCTATTTCTAATTAAGCCATCACTCTCTCTGTAATATGCCCTAGCGGTTCTGGGATTTGATGTTTCTTGATTTGATTGGGTGGGCTTAATTAATTGTTGAATTATTACAAATGATTTTATTCACGTGTATAATAAGAGTTAGCATTTATTTAAATATAAAATTTAGTTTATATAAAATTTTAATTATTTATTTTTTTATTTTTAAAATTTATTATAATATTTTAGATGAAAATTTTAATAATTTTTAATAATTATAATAAAAATTGTGGTAATAATAACCATCACGCATCAATAACTTATATATTATTCAATTGGGAGATGAAATAGTCAACAAGTGAATGCGTTAATCATATGTAATCATTACATCATAATAGTCAGTTTTTTTAATTTATTATTTTTTAATTTATTTTGTAAATTGAGAATTTTGAAATAATTTATACTTTGTATTAAAATATTTTTTTTAGTATAGAGTATT